GTTTTTCTAAATTTATGTTTACAAATTATTTAATTATGATAACAAATGGACTGCGGCCAACAAGAATGTGAATTTTTGAAAAGGTGCATATCTTCTAGTCTTCTTGCTTTCTGAGACTTCATGATAAAGCAATGAAGAGTCAATATTGGTATGGTTTGAATATATTGTATTATGAAATCTCACTTGCTATATATAAGCTTTTGAATGAACTATACAAACAAGATCTTTATGCTGGCTAGGTCAATTTGGAGTGACCATTTTATGAGATTCTTAAAGAAACCTTATCAGTGAGTGACTGTTATTGCATAGTTGAATTCAATTTAGCTCCATTGCGAGTTTTTCTAAATTTATGTTTACAAATTATTTAATTACGAGAACAAATGATGGACTGCGGCCAACAAGAATGTGAATTTTTGAAAAGTGTATATCTTCTAGTCTTCTTGCTTTCTGATACTTCATGATAAAGCAATGAAGAGTCAATATTGGTATGGTTTGAATATATTGTATTATGGAATCTCACTTGCTATATATAAGCTTTTGAATGAACTATACAAACAAGATCTTTATGCTGGCTATAGGTCAATTTGGAGCGACCATTTTATCAGATCTTTAAAGAAAACTTGTCTGTGAGTGACTGTTAAAGTTGAATTCAATTTATCTGCGTGAGGTTTGCTAAATTTATGTTGAAACGGAGAATTTTTTTAATTATGAGAACAAATGGACTGCAGCCAACAGGAATATAAATTTTTGTAAAGGTTTATATCTTCAAGTCTTCTTGCTTTCTGATACTTCATGATAAAACAATGAAGAGTCTATATCGCTATGGTTTGAATCAATTTTCTAAGCATGACGAGAACAACCTGCAACCTACAGGATGCAAAATTTATGCACATGCATGTTTTCATACAGTCTTCCTATAAGCCAATTTAATTGAGATGAGGAGTTTATATATTGATTTGGTATGAGTATGTTGTATTAAATGTTAGGTACTTTATATTAGGTCTAGTATGCATGACCGTCAATCATACACCTATATATCTTCATATTTTATGATTGCATGTGATCCTCATGGCTGCATTATATATTTGCTATACTGTATGTTTGCATTTTTGCAATGTTTCGCTTAGATTTTGGTAACCTAAAGTTATAAAACTTGCAACTGACCGATTACAATGGTAACAATGACAATGTCAATGGTATTGACAATCTCATGTTAAAGCATGCTATCACTTGTTATTTTCTGACAATGTGCGCTACATATCAAATGTTTTCATAAGTAATATTTATAACCTCCATTTTTAATAAAATTGTACAAAATTTCCCTGCAAGCAAGTTGTTCATTCTGCAGTGTGTCCCAGTGGTTTCCACTTCGACCTATGCTAAGATCTTCTATTCAAATTGACTAGAATAAATAATCCTCATCAAAAGTCCAAGTACAGTAGTGTACATGATTGTACTTCATCGTACGAAATGAAGCATACTGTAGCTAACTGTGCAAGTTTGCAACAAATGAATTCAGGTGTAGTTTGTGAACAGTGTGGTTCCATATTCATCTGGTATGGTGTAAACGTAGTCTGAGTTTAACATTTTGGTTCAATTCCGTTCTCTGAAACATTGTCAAAATAAGCAATGAAACAAAACACCGCGTCACAGGTTTACAATCCTGATCAAGGTGGCTCCCTACAATTTTTGAAATATGACAAAATCGTGATTTAGATTTGATTTTTAATTTTTTGAAGAGATGTTTCTTTTCAGAAGACAAAAATTGTACCACATATATTGAGCAATCGTCCAAAAGTTGAAAATTGTTTACAAAAATGATGTCGTTACCGTTGTTATACAGTATATGGTAACAATGACGTTTATGGCCGACATTTTACCTTTTAACACATTTTACTCGAAAAAAAGTAAACTTGAGTAAAGTACATTATAATGTGGTTTTATTAAGATTTAATTGTTTTTGTAAAGGCAACTAAAGGCATATCATGATTAAAGATGTATTTAAACAAGTATTAAATGTCGATAAAGTGCGAACATACCTTTAATGCCTTTAAACACAATTTTATACATTTAAACATACCTTTAACAGATTTAACCTAATGTGTAAAGGTCAAAAAAGGTATGGATTTCTTTAATCAACTTTAAAGATCACATATAAACTGGAGTAAAGTATGATGTGGCTTTATCAAGCTTTAATTGTTTTTGTAAAGGTAACTAAAGGCATATCATGATTAAAGATGTATTTAAACAAGTATTAAATGTCGATAAAGATCGAACACACCTTTAATGCCTTTAAACACAGTTGTATACGTTTAAAGATACCTTTAGCAGATTTACCCAATCTGTAAAGGTCAGAAAAGGTATGGATTTCGTCCTGTGTAGGTATAAAACACGCGTGTTTTTCGCGTGGTCTTCGTGGGAGCTGACTAAACTTTTCCAATCGATGTTTTTTCAATTTTTGCACGAAAATGCTCATACTTGACAAAAAGGTAAGTTTGATACAAATACAGTCCATATACTAGGGATCGAGAGGTCATTATTTATGGCGGAGGGTGGCGCCGAAGAGAAAAGGGTTGGCCGTAAACAAAATTTTTTGAGCGAGTAAAAGGTTGGCTAAATGTTGGTTTAAATCTTCCAGCATATTGTGTACAGAAAATATTAATTAAAATATCTTGCAGTATCGTGTTTAAAGCGTCAAATTCAATATAAATGGTAGGAACAGTGGTGTCAAGTAACGACTCGGTAAATGTACTTCGTTACTGCATGTACTTGAGTACTATTTTTGAGAAGTGAGCATGTAACAAAGTAAACTTTTTCTGGAGTACTTTTACTTGGAACAAAGTCGTTTTAATAAGTAACGTTTTACTTCGTTATTTTCATTTTGTGGCGAAGTATTTCGTTACTTTCTAACTTTTGTTTAATTTTAAGTGATTTATTCCTGATTTATTTTAATTTTGGGATAGGTAATACGACCTCTACATGCGTCTGGGATCCCTCGTTTGTAGCTTTCTTATAAGCATTATTTATTTAATGGATTTCTTATATCTTCAACGGGGTCTGGAAAGTAGACCATGCCGTGAAATATTGTATATTCGGTGCACGCATATAATGCGTCTATAATTTGTGTCTTTTGTATGTCAATCCATTGGAGAAGCCCCCCAATCTTACCATCTACACGCTACACGCTACAGACAATAGTACTTTTACTTTTACTTTGTACTTCAAGTATTTTTTAAGGATACTTTATACTTTTTACTTAAGTACGTTTTGCTTCCAGTACTTTTTACTCATCCAGTCGTTTTATTGTTAATTACTTCTACTTTTACTCGAGTACAAATTCAAAGTGATTTAGGCACCACTGGGTAGGCAGGAGGACTTCTAGTTTGTTTTCTTTGAAATGGTCATGTATAAATATTTTATTTTCAACGCTGACCTTGTCCCCGAACCAAAGCCGCGAACGTACAAGACGAGCTTCGCCATCTTTGGCTTCAAAAATCAAGCCCGAGTTATCGTTCCAGTATATTTAGAGTTCAGTGGGCTGAGACCTCGATGAAACATGGCCATGCGCCTGCGATTGCTGATGAACTTCAGACTTCGCTAATGCTTTCCTTTCCTTTCCTTTCCTTTCCTTAAACCTTTCCTTTCCCTGGGTGTAAATAACTATAACCGAGCGGAATTAGTACGTTAAGACATTGGCTCGGGGACAAGGTCAGCGTTGTATATAAAATATTTATACTGTATATGGCCATTTCAAAGACAACAAACTACAAGTCCTCCTGCCTACCAATTATATTGAATTTGACGCATTAAACACGATCTGCAAGATATTTTAATTAATATTTTCTGTACACAATATACTGGTTAGGAAGATTTAAACACTCAAGTACAGAGTAATTGCAGCATTGCAAAATTCGATAAACCCACTTAATTTAGTTAATTAATGAATTAAGTCAGGACAGGTATTTTCATGCAGCTCAACCATGCATGATGCAATTTTTATGGTTTCCAAACCCACGCAATAACACCAGGAAGTTGATCTTGCGCCCATTGCGCGCAGGTTATGTTTATTAAGCTGTCTGGATGCTTTAGACATCAGATATCCACTTGTTAGTGAATATTGTTCATCAGGAGATTGGGATATCTTGCTATAAGCAGTCTTCAACATGTCTCTAAGGTGAGTAGAGCTCTGTACTATAGAGTAAATCTCGACACCTTGTTGATTTACCGGCATTTTAATTGTCATTTTAATAAATTATTAATCTGGTCTTATAAATGAAACAATTGACTTCACTTCGATAAGTTGCGCATTGACTCACAAGCATCATTCAGCGATTGTGTCAAGAAATGATTTAATTTTTGTGAAATCCTGCTGGGCCCTAGAGTACAATTATTTATAATCGTATTTTGCGTAAAATTTCCGGCTTGCACTTTGCTAGTACAGTTATTCTAGTTACTGTAGAACTTGTCAAAAATCGTTTTAAATTTAGCGTTTATTAAATGTTCCAGAAATGTACACAACTACAGCGTGTTAGTGTGTCTCGTGCAAATATGTGGAATTCTTTCATATTTGGCTACATGGCTATAAATTTTAACATTCAACTGCAGGAACTGATGACCTATAGTTTCAAAATAGCTGGGGCGATATGATTCAGGAACTGCATTGTGCGCCAAATATTTAGTGTTTGGCTGTTTATTATCGAACATATAACAAGAAAAAATTATCATGGTATTCAGAGTATAAAATATATCGACATGTCTGAGACATCCTCAGTACCCAAAGTGTAATTGTGTGGGAATGAAAGGTTTCATGTTACAGATAAACAACATGTTTAGGCACGTCCCTAACTCAATCTACGCATAAGGTAAACACTTATGTCAATAGTTAACCTCCTCCGCGAGGAGGCGGGCATCACGTATAGTTCGCGTGGGTTTATTAAAATTTTTGGCCCGCAACCGCCAATCAAAGGCTGGGGAGGAGGCTAGTCAATAGACCATTCTTGTAATGACGTCAAACTCGGAAAATAATATCTCAAATTTCATATTTATTTATTTATTTACTTTGCCATCATACTTTACATTCATTGGCTGGAAAACCACTACAGCTATTGCCAATTACAGCGACCCCATTAGTTATACGAAAACAATTTACAAGGTATACTAAACACACACAATAAACAAAACTTGAACAACAGTCATTGCATTATGTCTAAAAGCAGCATGTCAATGAAGAGTTCGTTAAACTCCGAGCGGAATCACATTTTATACACGCACTTTTCCATGTGCGGGCACTGCGAGGATCCTCAACATCGTATGTATTTTCTAATGCTAAAATATAGTGCTTAAAAAAACACATTAAAACATCATTTGCATTGCGAACTGTTGCTAAAAGTTGTTCCTTGAGACATCGCATTTTCTGCGTTTGACGTCATTATGAGAAAGATTTATACTTTATAGTACCGGTTTACTGCCTGTATACTGTGTTTATGAAAATAATTTTATGCACAAAAATTTGGTTTTGTCTTGAGCTGAAGTTTTGCATCGCATTCCACAGATACTATAAAACTGCACTGAAATAGTACGCCATGCTTGCAACAACATTAATATATGAAAATATTTTCATCTCCCACAACGTGTGATGAACTGAAATTTATATTTTTGTGTTTTTATATAGAAAGATTTTAATTCTGTTGCTCTTGACTCATCAAACACTCTCAATCTTCCGAAGAAAATGCATGGTTTTTGATGACAAAACAGACCATCCTGAAAGACCTCGTATGCCGTCACAAGTTACTGAGCATGATTTTTACCGCAGAGACCTGGTGCCCACTCCCACAATACCTTGTGTGGAAAAGTATGACGTCCCAGTAGCATGGCATGTCATAGTCAGTGAAAATGGCGATGGTAGTATCTCAGATGCCACAGTACGGGAAGCAATGAAAGTTCTTAACGGTTTGTTAGGAAATAATTTATAAACCCTGGTTTCCATAATAACGGTCGTAAATATTGAGTCATTTTTTCTGCTATATAATTCAAAATGTAGATATTTTATTTTGGGTACAAATAGATCTTTGTTGTTGAGTCACGATCTTTCTCAACAGCCAAAATACAACAGTTTAGAACAGAAAATAGGCAGAGTGATTATAAATAGTTATGATTTATATATGATTGTGGTTTACAAGTAAAAAATCTATTATATTCTGGCCGTTGAAAAAGATCGTGATGAATGCAAATTGTCTGTGCCAGCATAGATAGTGGCAAGGCATGGATTGAGATGGATTCAATTATACCTGAAAAATACAAGAAAAACGTCGATGTTTCGAGCGAAGGCCCTTCGTCTGGAAGTTAATAAGGAAGTTGGTATTCCCTTCCAATCCAGAATGCTGTCTGTATTGGGAGTGAACTTCGTTAAGTCATTGCAAAGCGTCTTAACTGATATTGGTGGCGCAGAGCCACAGACATGCATATATATCGTTTTCTGTAGAAGAGTGTTTTTAGTTTGATTCTACCAAATATACGACAAACTCTCTTTGGCTACTTCGATGTTTTACTGTATTAGCCATAGCTAGACATAGAACAACTGGAAAAATTATAATTATATGAAAAAGTCATTGTGAATGAAAGTCATACGTTTTATTATTTCAATTTATAGATGGATTCAAGGACAGTCGTTTGCATTTTCGCCTGGTAAAAAATCTCTTTCAATTGATTATTTTCCTCTACTTTATCTAATATCTGTCTTTTAATGTCTTGCTTTGACTATCCATCGAGGAACGAGAGACTGTTAAAATAGTCAAGTCTACGACACTACGTATATATCTTGTGTCTCTCATGCAGAGACACAACTAGATATACGTGGACTTGACTATATTTTATCATTGCCATTAGAGGATTACAATATATCAGTCATCCATTTTTCGGTTTTGACTTGATTTTAATCAAGGGTTCCTAATTTTTGGCCAGGTTAAAATATTTCCCCATGCATCTAGGTTATCGGAAAGCGCATGTACGAGAAATTCCCAGATCCTAAATAACAGTACAAATTTAATTCCTCTTCAAACAAGACGTAGGCAAGACGAATTTAAACTACTCATGTCTGGTGAGGGCAAAAATATCTGATATATATAGAAGGTGATATATAGAGGGATGCTCTATATTTCATATTGGTCATCATTTCTCTCTGTCATTCATTTTCTTCTGACCAAAACTAGCCAAGTATCTGAATTCCTTAATTTTCTAATCGCTCTCCTTTGAAATAATGTTGTGATGAAATGTTGTTTTCATCAAAACTACAATCGTGACCAAACATGACGGAAGTTTTTCTCCTGGTATATCACTCCCTTCCCTCCTCCCCATTTAATATATTGTTTTACGTAACTATATATCTGACACAACAATACGGTGACTGAAACAACATTGAATCCGGCGGAGGGAGTTGCGATATACTTATAAAATGTAATTTTATAAATATATCTATATATATAAGATATATATAGATATACTTATAAAATGTAACATGTACATCTCTACATTATTAATTGCTATATCAAACGATGTAGCCACTAATCCCGGGCCTGGTATAAACGTAGCTCAACAACTATCCGGTTGTCGTGGTCTGAAGATCAGTCATTTAAACATAAGAAGTCTGTACCCAAAGATGGACGAAGTACGCCTGCTGCTAAAAGATCAACCAATTGACGTTTTTACTATATCGGAAACGTGGTTAAACCCGTCGATTTCAGACGAAGAACTTAGTGTCCCCGGCTATACTATTCTCCGACAGGATCGTTTGGAACAAATTGGAGGCGGTACGGCTATGTACATTCGTGATGGATTACCCTACTGTCAACGTTTTGACATTACTGATGATAGCCACCTTGAATGTTGCTGGGTTGAAATTACAAGACCGAAGACAAAGAAACTGATTATTTGTTCTACCTATAGAGCACCGAATTTCCCTATCACAACCTTTGTCGAATCATTTGATGCATCGTTGTCAAAGATTCCGGAAAACGCTGAATTGGTCGTTTTGGGCGATTTTAACGTCGATTTTAACAGTAGGAGTTCCTCAAGAACTAAACTAAAACGGCTGATGAGGGTTACGGTTAACAAAGAATCTACAATCGACCTTATTTTTGTCAACAACAAGCATCGTATTGCTGACAAAGGTGTTGTGAATATGTCTTTGAGTGACCATTCGTTTATTTATTGCATTATTAAAGCTGGTGTTCCAAAGGCACCGTCACGCGTCATTGAATATCGCTCGTATAAATTTTATGATAAAAATACTTTCCTGCAAGATCTAAGAAATGTCGATTGGGCACCTGTATATGATGCTGATGAGGTTGATGATGCAGTAAATCTTTGGTGCACTCTCTATTCCAACGTTGCTAACCAACATGCACCTATAAAAACTCAAAGAATTAAAGGTTTAAAGAACCCGTGGTTGACTTCCCGTATAACAACGATGATGCATGATCGTGACTTCTATCACAAGAAAGCTGCCAAATCTAAATGCTCTGAAGACTGGTCGAAATATCGTGATTTAAGATGTCAAGTAAACGCAGAGATCAAAAAAGTTAAAGCTACATTCTACCAGGATTCTATTAATCAAAACAAAGGAAATCCATCAGGTTTGTGGAAAATTTTAAATGAACTTACTTGTCGCAGCAGAAGATCGCTAAAAACAAAAAAAGCAATTGGTCTCGATCATATATGTGCGCGTCTTCTAAAAGACAGTGCTAATGTGACTGTCCCATGCCTAACTCACTTGTTTAACAAATCATTATCTTCATCGAAATTCCCAACGGTATGGAAAAAGGGCAAAGTTGTACCAATATTCAAGTCTGGAAGCAGGTCGGATAAAAGTAACTATAGACCAATCACCATCTTATCGGTGCTGAGTAAAGTTTTTGAAAAAGCTGTCCATTCCCAAGTATATAACTATCTTCAGACCAACAATATATTATCGGCTAATCAATTTGGTTTTCGTCCGGGTCTCTCTACAGATGTAGCTTTGAC